CAGACTGAGAAAAAAAATCATCATATAGGGGAACAAAGTTGGGACAAGAAGGAACAAAATTGAGTATGAACATAAATGTTTTGACCTTTTACTAAACATAAATGATTTGACCCTTTTACTAAAAGTGAGAGGGAAATGTCTATTTCTCTGAAGTGATACAGTGAAGACTTGTCCTCATTCTGAAGTTTGCGTGTACAGTAAATACTTTTCTAAATCCTACTCTGCACACTCTTGCAGGGACATTCTTGACAGACAAGTATAGTTTTTTTCTTATTTTGTAGATATTAGCTGGATACAAGTGGCCTCTTTGAATAGCTGTAGTGCATGTATGTGTTTGAGTGTCTATGTGCTCTGTGACGGACTGCCATCCTGGGGGTATGCCTGGCAACTCAGGATAAATGGATGGGTGGAATTTAGTCATACTGTGTTCACTGGAAGTCTTGGAACACTTTAATTCTGTTAAAAATTTGCTAACTTATTGGTTTAATAAACAGTGTTTCTCATATGCACTTATCTTCCGCACAGACATTTTCTTTTCATTAAGTGTCATAATATTTTTGACTGACTCAGTCAGTTCTGTTTTTGCCTTCTTGTTATTAATTGCAATTATAGTCACTGGCTCCCAAAGGGATACTAAACACAAATGCTTGGTGTTATTGCAAAGGTATCACTAATAAAAAAGCACCCAATCAGACTGCTTGTCAATGCACTTTTTAACTTTTTTTTTTTGTTGATAATTTGGGTTTCAATTGATTACTACTGGAATGTTTAACCTAAAATTACTTGTTTCTAATGTGACATATTACATATACAATATACCAATATTTTTACGGAATTAACGAAGCATCCCACTGTATTTTAGAGGGTTTTTTTTGGTTATGACTAATACATTAAAATGAAATTAAATATATGATAAAGAATAACAAAAACGAAAATATCAACACTATTTGAGATCAGCACATGACAGAGATCATGTACAGTCATTTGCTAAGATCTAATTTCTTAGGTGATGATTTTATTATTTATTTTTATTTATTTTCCAGAAATGTAGACATTACTCATTTTAAATACCTCAGTCAATTTTCAATAACATGTATTTTATTCAGCACACATTTAAGCCAAATTTAATTTTGCTTAATTTTTGCTTAATTTTTTTGAGTGATTTTTATTTCATCAGAAGATGAAATTTATAACAACTAAAATAGCATTAATGTAGAAAATATGAAGCTGAAATATGGAGTTTTGTCCCAAAGGATCAATACAGTAGTGCTCAAAATGTTCACAGTATCCTTGAACAGTATTTGTTATATGTAGGCTTGTAAACTTTGATTAAGCATGAAGAGACCAGTCTTTGTGGTTCCAGGTAGTAAGTGCCCCATAATCTGAGGAAGTTGTGGTGCTTAGGATATGACAGGCATCTTACAGTTCACTCGGGCATTAGAGGTCTTATATTCTCTTACATGCAGTGTTGGTTTTCCTGGTGGCAATGGATAGAAAATAATGTGAGTTACTTAGAAAAGATGGTGAAACAGCATAGAGTATTTCAGGCCAACAATCACTGAGGTCGCCTCAATTCTATAAGAACGCCTTCCTCCCATGGAGAGCACATTGAACAGATTTGTCGTGCCACAGTGACATAGCAGATTGCGTCCGCAGTCTAAGAAAAGCAGAGAGCCGCATAAGTATGCCTGAATCATCCACACGATTCAATTCCCGTCTTCTTTAAAACGGGATAGTGTGAGGGCTGTGCATTACATAAAAAATACCTTAAGCATAGATGTGAATGGTATATCATTTACTAAATGGAGAATGCCGAAGGTGATAAACATTAAACCTCTATCAACCAACGTAACAGGTGTAAACAATATAGATTAAGCAAACACGTCTGGCATAAGACCTTTGTTGATATAACCTTTTGCAGTTTTTCACAAGTGTGACATGTGCCATTTGCAATTGTATACACATAAATTAACCACAAGTACATTTCAATTTAGATTTTGTTTGTATATAACTAGAATAGCTGGTAGAATTTGACTTGATTGTGGATTTACAAGACTTATATTTGAACTGTTACTAATAACCAAAATATTTTGTGAAACGGTGAGGCTGGGCCATGGGAAGGTTAGTGTGGAATGAATTTAAATAGCGCTAGTCATTCAACATGACCGTAAATTATTTTATATTAAGTTAAGAGCTAGGCAGCATTATAGCTCTTTGGATAGCACTGTTGCACAACACCTCTGGAGTTGAAGGTTTGAATTCTACCTCCGCTACTGCTGCTGCTGCTGATGATGACGATGACGACGATGATGATGATGATGATGATGATTTTATGAGTTTATTGATCCCTGTGGGGAAATTTCCTCCACCTACTCCGTCCTGCTCTTCTACAGACACACATAGACAAGGTCTGAGCAAGCTTAGGGGTGACAGCGAAGGGTCAGTCTGCTACAGCACCTGTGGAGCTGACGGTTAAGGGCCTTGCTGAAGGGCCAATGGACCCGTGACTGTTCTGCCGAGGCTGGGCTCTCGGTATGTGTGCAGGCTCTCCATGTTTCCTCCATGCGGGTTTCCCCTGGCTGCCCTAGATTCTTCCCACAGCCTAAACACATGCAGTTAAACTAATAGGCCTCATCTCTAAATTGCCCATAATACAGAGAATATGTGTCTGTGTGCTCTGTGAAGGACTGGCATCCTGTCCTGGGTGGAACTGATGGCTGATCAGTAATTGTACCTAGCTGGAAAGTAATATGACCAAAAACCAGGGTCAAAAAAAAATCTCACAACAAAGTTGCCTACAGTTTGAGGTCCAAAACCAAACGAAGCAGGGGGATAAAATCCTTGGGTGGTTTAAAGGTGATGCATATTTTGCTTTCATTTTATGGAAAAAAATGTGCCACATGAACAATCAGAAATATAATTTACCTACCTTATATATTCTTCCTAATGTTTTTAGGGCTTGGCACAATGACATTCTTGAGATAACGTTACAGTGATAATAAATGCACGGAATAGCATTTTGAAGAATAGTAATCCTTAAATACAACTAATTGAGTTCACCTAGTTCTGAATGCGACCTGCAGTATACATATAAATATTTATGTTTATAGCAACAGTGCTTTAAATCTGTTGCCAACTATCACCCAAGACGTATTGCAGCTTAAAGCAAATTGAAATGTATAAACACAAATTTTTAATTAGAAACTAGTTACTGTAATTTATACATTTATGCACTATTATTGTGTCCAGCCTCTATGATGGACTTTTCGGGCTTGCCATTTCTGAAGAAACACTAGGTTTGGACTGTGAAAGGTCAAAGCCAGCCACAGCCTTAAATATATTCCTTATTGATTTGGGTTTAATATATACAGCATCTTCTGTGAAAGCGCAAAAGAACGCAGAGGTTCTCAGTTTGCAGGGCTGACGTGTGGATGGTGGACTGGCATGTGGGTGAGGAAAATGCCTCGCTATAGATTTTCCACAAATTATTGGAGATGTGGAGAGTCGCGGAGCGTGGTAAGGAAGCCTGACACTGCAGGAGCGGCCTTCTTTTGCCCTGGGCGTTGGAGTGTCGGTGGGTGGGCAAACGGAGGCTCCTGGCTCTACAGGCGAATCTCCACATAACCCCAGAAAGATTGGAGTAGCTATCTTCAGCCATTTTAAAAAAAATAAATAAAAATTCTCACACAGATGTAATTTTTTTTAATAACGACACATTCCAGCACCAATGAAGGCATCTAGCTGGCTGTCACAAATAGTTATTACTCAAGCAATTTCTTCTGTCTAGTAGCCTAGAAACAAATCCTCAGAGTGTCTCTTCGATGGCTTCGATTTGCCTCGCCGATATCTCTGGGCATGGAGCCCGCAAAGGTCACGTGGAAATGGATGACCGTCAGTGACAGCCTGCTTTATTGCCTGTATGCTGTGGTTTGGGATCCGTGCGTGGGAGGTAGAGATACGGCTTCCCCCAAGCTCAGGGAGAGCAGTGAGGCTCTAATCAGAGGAGATTGCGGGGGTATGGCAAGAGAACTGCAGACTGCCTAATACATTCTCCACCCGCACAATAAAAAGTGCTACTCGAACATTGACGATTGCCACCCGTGGTTAGAATATACACGTGTGATTCTGAGTCCAGCAGCACACTCACTTCGGTCATTTCTAAACTTCTAGAATCTGTGTTGGGTGAGCTGTGCCATATTCCCACACAGGAGTCCTGCTCACGATTTGTTCTCTTATGCATGTACTGACTGCAGGCCTGACGTAATGGAAGACTGTTGTAGAAAGTGGGATGTAAGCATAGCTTCCTGGTAAAGAACAAATCTGTGCATTTACTAAATATTTAGTTAACGGAGATAGGGCTTCAGTTGGTTTTGTCTGTACATTTGTTTATTGTTCGAGCCTTTGTGAGGATTACAGTGTCATATCCATTTAATGCTTTTAAAAAGTTACAAAATTAGCTACTTTATATTTAGGTTAAAGCTCACATGAAGTCACTCTGTACTAGAAACCAACTCTTCTGCACTTTTCTGTTTTAGGGCTGGGTTGTACCTGTACATGTTAATATTTATAGCAGAGGAAGTTGTGGAATTGGGCTGATTGCTCACCATCAATTTAATCTCATTGGTGAGGTGTTGCCCGAGGACCCCATCTGACCTAACAAATATATGAGATATATCTTGCTTCTGAAGGCACTTGTCCACTAGAACACGTTCTGTAGTTATAGGCTAACCATATTGAAAATCTGTTATTGTAGATTTCTTATTGATGCTCTCTTTTGCCTCTGTCAGTGGTAGAACAACTGTTCTTCTCCAGTTCTTCAAAGCTTAAATTGAGCATATCCTGGATACTGGTGTGTTGTTTGTCTCTGTTTGTCGCTGTAAGCCATTCAGCATTTGTTTTCAGTGAGTCTTGTGAAGTGAATGATGGTGGATGGATGCTATGTGAGTGCTTTTGGACATGTACTCTTCTCAGGGCTGCTTCACTGTCACTTTTTCCTCTAGGGGCCGGGTGTTCCCAGTCCTGGGGTGCTTCAGTGAAGTGAGCAACCTGCTTCGGCAGCATGGGGTGCAGCCCGGAGGACTGGATGCTGTGCTCCTGGATGCTGGCTGCTCCTCTATGCAGCTCGACAGCCCGGAGAGGGGCTTTTCCCTCAGCAAGGATGGGCCGCTGGATATGCGGATGGATGGAGGCAGGTAGGTGATTCTCGAAGACGAAGACTGATCTGTTGGGTTCTTGGGTAGGACTGAAGATAGTTACAAAGAGACCAGTAAATAAGGTTAAGCACAGTCCCATATTCTGTCTCTATTGTTACAATCTCCTGAACAACAGATTTTTAAAATATATTTTTATGTCCTTCACATGGCAAATTTTATTCTTTGTAAACTCCAGATTTAGTTTGCAATGACATTTTTTCGAGGCAGGTTATGTGCAATGCAACTTATACCAAATGAAACTTTAGAAATGAGCTGTGTGGAAACAGCATATTGTACAGGGGCAGCAGTCACCTTGGGCCCTTTAGCACTGCTGTTCATCATGCACTGCCTAAGACTCAACCTGGGACAATGTCATACCCCAGGTAGCCGTTTCCGTGGTAGATTCTCATTTTCAGCAGATTTACTGCAAACGTGTATCACTGCCTTCCCTGTTCAGACAATGAGTGTTTGCGTGTGGGTAATCTGAACAGGATGTGTCTTTTGCCTCATCATGCCACAACAATATAAATGTTCTTACAAACCCAGAAATTTACACCAAAGATGCCCAATTTTCTATTTTCCCCTCCTGGAGAAAAACAAACTAATTATATGATTATTTAGACTATTGATGGAAATGTCTTTCATCACAGTATGAGCTGCAAATTTGTTTTTACCAAGTATCTATTTTGCTATGTTTAGTTCCTTCCTGATAGTTTGCTTAAATCCTCAAGTTGCTTTTCTGTCTGTGACAGGAAAGGCCTTTCATATCTTTCTAAAGCTTCTCCATATGCATCCAGTGAACACTTTGATTAAACCTATCAGTGACATTAACTTTTTTTTAATTTTTGTGACTCCACTGTTTTTTTTCTGTGCCCAGGATTATTTTTCTTGATGGTGAATTTTCAGCCCTTTTGCACACTGAAACTTTTTTCCTCTAGTATTTTTTCCTTCGGTCCTAACAAGCTTTCACTTCCTGCTGAGGAGAAACAGCTACTCTTGCCTGGTGTTGATTGAGTGATGTCCAGTACAGGAAGGCTCTGATTTAAATTGATCATGGTTTCTCAGGCTTCTGGTCATATAGTTGTACTATATGTGTAGCCATGTATCTGTACTACATGGTGAAATAACTATCATCATTATTACACTCAAAAGAAGGATGCATGTTGGTTTTTAACTGCTTGTCACATGGGATCCAGTGCATTTCTTTGTTCCGTTTTGCACACAGTACTGGCAAAACATGGACTGTACACAATGTCTAATACTGATACACAGTTTCAGTTCATTATTAGGTAATTTTAAACTCCCAAAGGGAATCAGGTGGGCATTGAAATTAGCTTTTCAAATGCCTTACGGATGCAGGAATAGTGCGGCGTGGACTTTGGTGTTGGCCCCTCGTACCTGTGGAACCTGTTCTGCCTATTTCCTTTCTCTCCTGGATAATGATGAAGCTTCAGTAGGCTACATGCACCATTCTCTTTTCACTTTGTCAGTCATTATCCAGGCCGCTTGCAGTAGTTTAGTCTTCTTTTGTGGTGCTTGAACATAATTGGACTTGTGGAACTGTGCTGTCCAGACTTTTGTGTCATAGTGGCAAGAATTTTTTTATGCTTTTCTTATTCCATTGAAATGTTGAAATGTATCACATTAAAAAGGAGACTCAGGTTTCACTACATACACAGTACCTACCCCACCCTATAAATCTGAACAATGCTGAAGCTGAAATAGTCCTTCTGAACTTGCAATTAGAGCCAGTTGTTAAGCATGTTTTACCCCCCAAGGATGAAACAGACCGTCAGGAATACTTCTCCTGTGAATGGCGCTGGGCTGCCCCCCAGCACGTGCTTACATTTGCCTTAGCTATAACTAGGGGGCCCCTGTGAATTGTACTATTCTTGTTTTATTAGTGTCCTCTATACCGATAACAAAATACTGGCCAAAGGGCTCCTGAATTGAATAAGAGGCCGATCGCGCTGCTTTGCCCCAGTGTGCCAGTTTCTGAATCGCAGAGTAATTATAGCAGATCAAGTGCTTTGTATTTTTTTAAGTCAGTCTCTCTGCTTCATCTCAGCTAAAAAGACTGGGATTTATAGTGTTTTGGAGTGAGGTAAAAAAAACACCATAATTTTTGCTATGTGATGATGTTTTTAGCCATCACTTTGAACATGTTGAGTATATAATGTTATGACAGTCATCGTTATTTAGACCTGTTTATGGATTACAGTTACAACGGACATCTAATGAACCGAATGTTCCTATTTGAAGACAAAAAATTGTAGTCCTGCATACTTATTTGGCTGCTTTATATATTGTCTATTCTTACTTAATTCACATATTTAATCGGTGTCATTTCTTTTTTATAGTTTACTTGCAGCCTTTTCTGACTTTTATTTTGCTTAAATTTCACCTTACTAATGACATACAATGGAGTGATAGATTTTATTGCTTTATTGCTTGGGAACTGCCTTTGGAACCAAGTCAGAAAACTGGCACTAAAATTCCTCCTACTTCGATGACAAATGGGTCATCACAAGATGTAAGACAAGATGTATATCAGCACAGTAATAATTTTCCAATTGTATCGTCTGCTGTCGATTTTATCTGGTTAACGGAAGGTGTCATCAGTGCAGGTGTAATTATGATACTTTAAAATCGAGGGCGTTCTCATGCATTACTATGTAAGATGAGGGCAGGAAAAACAATGGCTTGAAGCAACACCCTGAGTTTTGAGCAGTCTTCCCCTTTTTTATCATATGTAAATTCAGGAATATGACTCATTTTTTCCTATTTGATCATCTCTTTTTGTTTGTGTTCTGGAACACTACAAACTAAATATTGCTGTCAGTCAGCAAAGTTGAAGCAAAAGGTGCATCCAGGAAAGGGAAGCATTAACACGCTCAACATGCGTCTGGGATTCTTCTGTAGGAAGCGCAAGTACAGCAACCTTTGCATATTTGATGCGTCATTATTATTGCGCTGTGTCATTTCCACTGCGGAATGTCTAAGTGGTTTCGATATTTAAAACCAATTCATACGAGCCTGTTGCTTCATGGCTCATCACACAGCATTGCCCTGCTCTACAGTGTGATATGACAAACAGTCCTCCACAATTCGCACAATACATTGGTGTTGTTGTCAATCTGAATACACAATCAGGATGTCAGTTCTGTTCTGTGCCAAATAAGGTTATTTTTTTATGACATTTTTTTGGGCCAAACTTTTCACTGGCTCAGTACCCTCCACCCCAAAGAGTTTGTACATATGCATATCCATATATTGCACATTTTTTTAAAAAGTGTCATGCTGTTTTTAGATCTCAGGCCTAGATAGGCGTCGAGGAGAGCGTGACGTTTGGAATCTTCCTCTTTCGTGTTGTAGGTGCCCCGCCGTGGCCAGTGCGGCTGACGTGGTGAATGCCTTAGACCGTCAGGCTCTCGTCTCCATCCTGAGCACCTACGGAGAGGAGAGGTACGCCAAGAAAATAGCATCGGCGATCGTGGCAGCTCGTGACATCTACCCCATCACCAGAACGCAGCAGCTGGGCGCTGTCATTGCAGGTACCTTCATTAATTCTGTGTGTGCCGTCTGCGGGCGGAGAGAGGGAGAGAAATATTAATCCTCTCCCTCCCAGCGGGATCTATTTGTCGAGGAAATCATAGCACCTCTAATCCCGTCCATCACACTCACGAGTTTGTGTTTGTGCTCTCATAGGTCGCCTCCTGATGAGACTCATTAATGTCAGGGGAGGAGGTGTTTAAAGGGGCAGTGCTCTTTCTTATGTCGTGCTCAATTTACCACCCACTCTTGCAGCTTCGATTTCCATTGTTTTGGTCCCCCTACTTGTCAGCGTTCCCCCCCCCCCCACACCTGTCACTAGCCACCCCCCCCCCTTCCCTGGACTCTCGACTCGTCCCGTAGTGCGTCATCCGTGCCTTCGTAGCGAGAGGGTCTGCTCGATCGGCGGCAGAGCATGCGCGTCATGCTAGAGAACACGTGAGACAGCTTGTTTGTTTTTTGTTTTTTTCTGTAAAAGTCAAGATCGATGTTCATTGCAATCATTCTGCGGGGTCTTGCTTTAACTGGGTCAAAGGGGCGCCTGCTGCTGTCGTGGTCTAGGGGAGCGTGTGACAGGGCAGGGGTGACGATGGAAGGCGCCTTAACGACATGGGGAGTGTCCCCATTTAATGCTGCTTCAGTGCAGTACTGCATCTGTCTCTCCCTACCTACGGATAGGGTTGCATGCGCTATCCCAAGATGCCGCAGGATTCCTGCCTTCCCGTCACGTGACTGAGCTCCTGTAATCTCAGCAGCGGCCAACTCTGTATCTGAAACACTTTGTTTCCTTGAATGTGTTTCATATTACTAGTAATTTATGGCCATTTTATTTAAAGTGGAAACTGAGCTGGTCCTCAGCCAGCAACACAATTATGTTTAATAAGGCTTTACCAGACGTATGTCATCACTGGGAGACCTCATTCTGGTAACCCTGCATATACATATAATTGGGTTGATATCATTATGTAGTACAGCTGGAGTGTTATGTTTTCATTTTTCTTTTTTTATATATAATTTAAATTTTAGCCTATCAATTTTGCTTACTCACTGTGCAGCTTCACTCTGCGTCCTCCAAAGCTCAAACTCATCAGAAAACACTTTACTGGCTTTGTTGTATTTGCAGATTAATACCCTTTAAAATAAATATGCAACCCCAAAATTATTGAATGCTTACATTAAAAAAGAGAATATGAATCTGTTAGTGAGTTTGCATTTTAAGGAATTCAGCATAATAATAAATTAGTTCCTTTATACCAAATGATACATTTTGGGAAAAAAAAGTCGCACATCATATGTGAATTCTGTGTAACCCATATTTATCACATTTGTTATGCATGAGGTGTTTTTCAGTACAAGTAAAGTTTTGCTCTGGCCACTTCAGTCTTTCTAACTCCTCAGACTGGCAGCGCCTTTCTGCCTCGTGTCACCAAGATCTCAGCTGGTGCTGTTTCAGTAAGTTCACGTTTAGTTGTCGGGAAGCTGAAAACAAACTCGTACCTGACTATTGGCAAGTAATCACAACAGGCTTTTGGCAAGTTTATTCCAGTACCATTTTGCTACATTTCAAACATGTGAGTTCAGACCTGTTGTTTGATGTACCAAATGAACAGTTTTAGCTTTTGAAGTCCAACGGAGTAATTAGTCAACATTTTAATTAGTGTTGCAGACCCACACATCCAGGTGTTATTTATGTAAAGCATATAGCTAACAAAGGAGTCACTGTATCTGTTTGGCGAGCACACACTCATTTCTTAGACAGTTTAAATATTTTTTGGTATTTTTTATTAATTTTGTGTGACTCCATGCTGATATAATCGACTGAATGAAAAATGCTGAACAAGACTAGCGTGACGACTCCCGTGCTGAAGTCAAAATACACAACATGGTACCAAGACTGATGAGCTGATCCCGTTAAAAGCACAATATGGCTGAAAATAGCAGCGATGCCGTCTGCTAACAGATGGGAAATACACTTGTGGATAAAACATGTTTCCAGATCACGGTAGGTCACAAAGTGGAGCATAATCCATTACCATGCTGACACCTGTTGATTTTTTTCCAGGGGACAAGATTATGGCTTTCCACTGTGCAGGTGGGTGGATCACATGCAAATGAGCATCCCAATATTAAATTAACATTTGCATATATCCTCTAAGTAACTATTACCATTTGTTACATTAAAAATTTAGTATGGTTAATTTAGAACAGTAATCTTGACTAGACTATGCTTTTCAGACTATAACAACAATTTGTACATCTGCAGAGCAAATAAATTTAAGAAAGGTTTTGTTTTCCATTGGCATTTGTTGCTGTTTTGCATTAATGTGTAACGTATAACTGAAATTTACAGAATGCTAAGTGATCAAAGGTACTGGATCTTCGCAAATGTGCCAAACAACTCAGTGTTTGACACAGCGCACGCGGGCCTGATGTACTGGATCCCGTGTATAGAAACCTGGGAATAACAGTCACATGGTGCCCAGCCAGTGTGCCACAGCCCACTTTAACCACTCTTCCCCTACCCTTTCCCTTTATGAAAAATGTAAACTATGTTCTACTGCAGTAGGACACTCACCCCCCCCATTTCAAAAGACTTGATTAGTGTTCCAGCATAAACCCCTGTTCTGGTCAGCTTGAAACTTCAAAGTAAACATTACTGCTACTTTTATTGTGTCTTGTTAAAATTTTTTGTAATGTCATCTAAAGTATGGATGCATCAGACAGAAGGAATATAAATGGCATGTATAGATGATGGGTTGCTTTAAGTGGGATGTGGGGGGTGGTGGTAAGCAGGAAAACCGTGTGTAATGTCTTGGCTTCCCTATATGAGCTGCTTTCTTGTACCACCATTAAGACACCTCTCCTATTAAGTAAGATTCATGTATGAATCATTTGCCCAGAACAGCTTCTGTCAAAGACCGCCTGTCTCAGCACTGGCAGCTTGAGGAATGACAGGCAGAATCACATGAGAGCTATTAAATGTGCCGTGACTGCTGATTATTTATCTGCGGGATAACAAATCGGGTAACTCTTTACTTAAGGCCATGTTTTTAGTAATTTATTCATAACACATTCATAACAAATAATAATGCATTCATAAAGCATTATATACATGGATATAAATATTTATCAAAAGGCAAAACACATTATAACCATGTGTATTATGCATTATGAATGCTTTATGAAACTCTCATCTATAATGCACTATAGATACCTTCATAATGCATTATAATGGTTGGTATAAGCATTAAGGATGCTTTGTACTGCATTATAAAGGTATCTATAGTGCATTATAGATGAGTGCTTCATAAGGCAGTCATAATGCATAAACGTGGCTATAATGTGTTATACCTTTTCATAAATATTTAGCTATGTGTATAATGCTTTATGACTGCAATAATATTGTCATGAATGTGTTTATTGAATTGCTAAAAACATTGCATTAAGTAAAGTGTTACCACAAATTGTATATAACACAGTGGCAGGACGTGATTAAGTAACATTTTCCTTTAAAGTTCTTCCTGTTGCTATGGCATAAAGCACACACTTTCCTCCTTGGGTCTTCCATCTTGCCTGCATCTCCTTCTGCCCACATGAGGAGGGTCATGCAAATGGACCATCCCACCAAGCATTTGTGTTGCTGTCTGTTTGTACTGCTTTGGGTATCTGGAGCTGATCTGTCGGTGTGGGACTCAAGGCTTCAGAATGACATGTGGAGGGTGGGGGGGATTTATGAAATGACCACAGGAATGTGAGTGTAATTATTGTTCAGTGACACAGACTCGGGCTCCTTCCGCGTCTACAAATGTCCATCTGGGGGCGTGTTTGCTGTCACCGCCTAGTGCGAAAAGGACACCCTTTCTCTTCTCCTGGACCTTTTAAAGATGAATGAGAGTGCCTGGAGTTAATTCCCTGACTCTTGGGGAGGACGGCCCTGCTTCCTCATTGATTCGATGAGTCACCCTGGCGCCCATAGAGCCGCGGATGAGAAATGTCACAGGGCTGGGAGACAGAGCCAGACATTAAAGGTGGCCGACTTTGCGTTTGGGGGTGGGTGGTGGGGGCCTGGGGAGCCAGATAGAGGATGGGTGGGGGTCATACAACTGTCCCCACCCTCCTTAATCAGCACCACTGATGCTGCAAACTACACCAGCAGCAGAGTTAAGGAACTGTTTGGTAAAACTCATTTACAGTACTCTGTTTATTTGTTTATTTCATATATATATATATATATATATATATATATATATATATATATATATACACACATACACACACACACACACCATTGGTTAGACATGCCAAAGATAATATGTGATTAACATTATGACATGCAAGAATTCACATGAAAAATCACTAGATTGTTTGGCTTTACAAAGTCTGTACCACACATTTTTGTGTGCTTTCAGAGGTAAACACAAAAAAATCAGGTTTAGACTTCAGTCTTTCTTTATGTAAACTGCAGTATTGTAAAGGTGGAGGCATAACCCTCATGTGATATATTTATTTACAGAATAATATGCTTTATGACAGAATCGATGACCATGGGGCTGTGTCTAGTATCGTAGGAGGTGTCTGTTTAGTGTAGCCTGTTATGCTCACTGCGGTCTAGGGACACAGCCCACCTGCATCACCTTAGGACTGAGGGCCTGTCTATGTGCCCGATGTTCAGCTGATTTGCAGATAGGGAGACCATCTGATCCATATCAGGGGGACACTATCAGCTACTTCAAGTTTTACAAACTACTTTACAACTGAAAGGTTCCTGTGCTTGGCTAAATAGTTCAGTTCATCTTGTGATTTGTTTACTTGATTGAAAGACTCATCTAGCTGATTCACATTAACATTAGTGACGCATGCATGATTACAGGACACTGACCAATCAGCACACAGCAAGAACTCAGTGCTAAAGTGAAATCCAGGTCTTTTTATTTAGATGGTCACGTACAAACCCTGTCAGAGTGTCCCCCTGACTTGGATTAGGTGATCATCCTATTTGCCAAGCATTTGGGATGATGTGTAATCAGTCTTATACTATGGCTGTATAGATGAGTAGATATGTTACAGGAGTGACTGAGCAACTTCCTCAAAGTGACTGTCTTACAGCTGTTCTCTGGCTGAAACCTGACCGCATAACATTTTAATCGCAAACCAATTTCCTGCCAGTACCTGCTCTACCTGCTTTGCTCTTTTGTCTCATAGAACAGACCATGGTCTGCTTTGTCAATTGTTTTTTTTTTTTTTACCTCAATCCTGCTTTCAGTACATTATTCAGTATGTTATTCAACTTGTATGAGTGGTATGTCTTTGAAACTTGACTGAGAAGTCAGTACCTTTTCATAACTAATGGTCTCACCCCTGCAGCCATACCGTAGAACCTTCCCAAGAAGACTGTCAATTCATTGCAGTTTGGGCACCTTCTGGCAAATATAGTCTCACGGTTATTATCTGAATCTTAATAATTAAAGTATATACTTGTTGTACTGTAGTAGTAATTTGGTAATAATGCTATTACCTCCAATGTAGTATAGCTGAGTTTAGCCATTTCACACTGCTAATTCTGCATAGCTATAGGATGTCTGTGCATTACATTATGTCATTTTGTCATAAACAGAGTATTTTTAGCATTTGGCTATCACCCCTACAGGAGCGTTTTCACCCTCCACCCTGTATGCCCGGAAAGACCTCCTGCAGCGGCCCGCTCATGTGGCCACCAAGAGCTTCCAGGCACTGCGCATCTTTGTCAATGACGAGCTACACGAGCTGCATGCGGCGCTGCAGGCGGCGGAGGTGTTCCTGCGGCCCGGCGGCCGGCTCTGCGTGCTCACGTTCCACTCACTGGAGGACCGTGTGGCGAAGCGCTTCCTTCACGGCCTCGACGTGGCCGCCCCGCCCCGCCGTAACCCCCGCCGACCAGCCCGGGAGGAAGAGGGCGAGGATGAGAGGCCGAGCACTGGGGATGCTCGCTGGGCTAATGTGCAAAAGAAGGTGATCATGCCCCAGCAGGATGAGGTACGCGAGAACCCCAGGGGACGTTCAGCAAAACTCAGGGCAGCTGTGAAGCTCTAGGTCTGAGAACGTCCTGTTTCTGTGGATTTCTCAGTGGGAATCCCATTCAGTGTTTTTAACGCACCTGGCTGGGAACTTGGTTTGTGCCTGTCAGCATTTGGAAGCCTATTTATGTTTGCTGAAAGGCAGCTGCTGGCTCTCTGCTGATGGCCTTATCGTGCGGCTGCCCTCACCATTAGTCTATTTCAGTGTTTTCCAACCTGGTCCTCGGGGACCCACAGACGGTCCAGGTTTTTCCTCCCTCTGAGCTCCCTGCCAGACGCAAAACGTGGACTGTCTGTTGGTCCCAGAGGACTGGATTGGGAAACACCAGTCTATTTAATCCAGTGCCATTGTGTTCTTGTTGTAAAAACCCTCTCTTGATAAGAAAGGATAAAGTGTTTCCATTTTCTTTTTCAAAAAGCAAAGGAGACAGGGTTTCCCAGTAACTTACGGTCAGGCGAGGGTGAGGGGTGCCATGTCTTCTGAACGGAGACTGTCAGATATTCACCACATAATTTGGTTTGTAAAAGCTGCTGATAGTCGTGATAAAAGCATTTATACTGTACACTCAGACAAGGATGTATGCATATGTACTAATAAATACCTTTAAGTGTATTTCACATATCAACAGAAACATTTTCAGTATAACAGATTTTTTATATTTGTCATTCGTAAGAAATAAATTGGTATTTTGAAATGGGTTCTGTGTAGATTCTTTCATTGCTTACATTCTCACACTGATGTACACTTGTTTCAATTTTTCATTTCATTGTAGTTCATTATAAATATAAATTTACTATAAAAACATATGTCACAAGCATATCCGCAACATATTTAAGTGGGACCAGTAAAATCATGGTAGGAAGTGCTTAGGTGCTTTTTTGTGGATTAAACCCAAATGTCCACCTGACCCTGATCTGGATAAGCGTTTGAGAGATGGACGGATAGATGGAAGGCAGGAGCGATTTGATAAACCCAAATGTCCACCTGACCCTGATCTGGATAAGCGTTTGAGAGATAGACAGATAGATGGAAGGCAGGAGCGATTTGATAAATCCAAATGTCACAGACATCAAACTGTAGAGAACGATTATATATATTCTTGGTCTGATTTTAGCACCTTAACAATGCGAAAACCCTATGGAACAGGCCAGAGAAGCTCAAGGAATGATCATTCAGGTGTGGAGACTGAATTCATAGCTGTAGTTTTCTTTATTCTTATCTTTTTGAGTGAATTCTGCCTGCGCATACCATTCAGAGTTCACAAATGCAGCTTCAACTCCTTCACAGTCTCTGAACATTTGTGGGTCTCTGTGCATCCTGCAGCCGCACCTTGGGGGCTGCTCATTAAGACCACACAGGTCTTCCACTGAAACTCGGGTTTGTCAGCCACAGATGTGGTGCAGCGAGTAGGACGTTGCTGAGAAGTGATGCTTTAAACAGAAACAAACATTTAAACAACTGGTTTTACTACAATCAGTTTATTGTTCATTCTTTGAATTTTCTGTTTCAAAACCAAATTGGAAAAACCAAAAAACAGTGCTGTTTTTTGGTTTTTCTGTTTAAAAATCAGAAGATGAAAAAGGAAAAACAGGAAAAGAAACAATAACAGACATCGTGCCTCGTTTTTCTGTTTTAAAACCAAATTGGAAAACTGTCAGACTTTAAAACAGTATTTTAATATTATATTGTAACATATACAGGGCCAACAAAAAGTTTGGAAGCACCTACCCATAGAAAAGTTTATTTGTACTATTCTCTACATTTTAGGACAGTGGTGGCAAAGGGCCGGTGTGTGTGCAGGTTTTTTGGATAACCTGCAGGTCAGCTGCTCAAACCCAGGTGTAAGGACTCTTCAGCCAATCAGTCCTCTAATTAGTAATCTAATTAGGGAGTTGCATTGAAAACCCGGACACACAGCGGCCCTTTGCGGATAAGATTGACCACCCCTGTTTTAGGATAATTATAAAGCCATCACAACTATAAAGTAGCATATCCTTGGTGAAAAACAGCATAGACCATCATAATGAATGCTGGTTTTACCAGCATATATTCAATTCAGTTCAATTTTGTTTGTATAATACATTTTCACAGCATTCCATTGTCTCAATGCGCTTTACATTATCCTGCCCAAAGCCCCCAGAGAGCAAACCAGATGCAACAGTGGCAAGGAAGAACTCTCTAGAAGGAAGAAACCTTGGGAGGAACCAGACTGGAGCCCCAGCTCCAGAAGCCGGTAGAGGAAGTCAGATTAATGGGATGGCAAAATCCTAATTTAAACAGTCCAAATTTTAAGATTTGAGTCTAAGTGCAGATGACAGGCAGGTGCTGGTGCTGCTTCTGACTGCAGGATGAACAGTGATAATAATAATAATTGATACTTTATTGATCCCCATGGGGAAATTGTTTTTACGCCTCCCTCAACTTGCTCTTTGTAGAGCAAGCTGTCCGCGAAGGGCAGCCACCTGTAGCGGCGCCCAGGGAGCTGGGGATTGAGGGTCTTGCTGAAGGACCCGCAGACGTGCTGAGGCTGGGCTTGAACTGGTGACCTTGTGATTACAGGTACACGGCTTAGCCCACTGAGCCGGGCACACAGCACACAGCAGCAGGGCAGACAGGAGAGACGTCACAGGCAGGAAGGACGTCACAGGCGGAAGGACGTCACAGGCGGAAGGACGTCACAGTCAGTAGAGGCATCACAGGTGCTGGTGGATGCTGGAGCAGCATCATTAATAAAATATTACTGGTGAACAGTTTCATGTGCAGGTAAGACCAGCACAGTTATACTGGTCCACCAGCTACACCAGCACCAAACCAGCATTTACCAGCTTAGACCAGCTTAGCATGGAAATTATGTTTTTTCAGTGAGGATATGGCTTATGCACTAACCAAGAAACTATTAAAAAAAGAATTTGTTGGGGAGGGGGGTGTTGCAGCTCTGGGGGTTGATCAGAAAGTTGCTGGTTCAAATCCTGTGGTCAGCAGAGTGATGCCACCATTGGGCCCTTGAGCGAGGCCCTTAACCCCAGTTGCTCCGGGGACTGGCTGACCCCACCGTCTCCTCATGAGGTGGCCTCCCTAGGAGGTCTTACAGCTGTCCTGAAGGAGGCACCACATAGAACCGGACCATGGTCCTCTTCCTTTTTTATTTCTTCCCTACATTTCCAGTCATTGAGAAAAAAAAAACACTGCTCCATTGTTTTTCTGATTTAAAACAGAAAAACAAAACATTATGTCTGTTTTGTTCTTGTCTTCTATTTCCTTTTTCCTGTTCTGATTTAAACTAGAAAAACAAAAATGTTTTTGTTTTTCCAATTCGGGTTTGATGCAGAAAAATCAAAGAATGAATGATTTTCTCGCAAGATACTTTTACTTAAGTGGCATTTTAAGTGGAAAGAGATAAAAAAGTTACTGTCTCATTTTGTTCTTACATTGGCGCATAGATAAACCTTCAAAGTCAACAATCCAAAAGTTTCTGCCCTTTTTTTTTTTAAAATTTCACCCTTTTTCTTCCCCAGCTGTTGCCAAATGACTATGCTGATCCATTTGTAATTGCATAATTGGTAGGACATTTTATCTTTTTCTTACCCATAATGCTAACTTTGTTACAGATAGTTATTTTACCATTTCCAAAGTAACTGTCTAAATATTTCTGCCATTTAATCACAGTTTGAATGGCAAACCTGGAGTGTAAGCACAGTTCTGAAAAGTCATCACTATTCTAATTTAAAACAATGAGATCAGACGTCATTCAGATTTACTGTACAGCTCTCTGTTGGCTTAGCATTTTGCTGGAATTTTTTTTCTGGCTGTGGATTCAAGGCCATTTGAAGTCAACTGGCCAATTCTTAGAAGGGAAACAGGCAGTGTGCCCGTGTGAAAGGATGCCAGGGGGTGAGCACTGAGCGAGAGCTGCGCCATCAGACTTCTGTGTGCAAGAGCAATTGCATGCCCACTGGGAGATGGGAGGGATGCCTACCATCCACGGCAAGCAGGTTATCAGGGGGTGGTGATGTGTGCAGCGGTGACTGTGTCCGTGACAAGGGCTGCACCTAGTGCGAGTGTGCTGCATGAAGGCCTAAAGCGAGGAGATGGCTTCGCTGGGCCTGCTCACACCACTGGGTGAGCTAATGTGTTCGGGACAGCTTTAGGTTTATTAAACTGACCATTTTTAGATTAATGCATCAGTAAGATCCTGGTTTGAAATGTTGTGTCATTTATTGTTGTCGACACTGCTGCAGAAAGTAGTTCAGGGCCACCACTCAGGAGTAGTTACAGCACAGAGTTGAGATGAGTTATCCAATATGTCATTAGTTTAAGTAACACTATAGGGTAACGTTTTACATTAACTGCACCTTCATAATGCATTCATTGAATATTCATAAGCAGCATGAAAATATATCATTATCCTAACATACCTTATCAGCTTTAATATACATTAATGACAAACCTTATATGATTATGATGTTTGTTATCATCATCGTGCCCTGCGATGGGTTGGCACCCCATCTGGAGTTGTTTCCTGCCTTGCATCTGTAGCCTCCAAGGCTCTGGTCCCCCATGACCCTGAACAGGAAAAGTGGTTACAGATAATGGATGGATGGATACCAGGAATATTATTATAACAATAACATCATACTTCTGGTAAAATATTGGACAATGGTTCCCTGAATACAGGTGAATATGCCATTGCTTCATGCGAATGTTATGTCACTGAGTACAAGGCAGAGCCATCCATCAGATGGGATAGCAGATGAAGACTGAGTGGGCCAGTGGCTAGAGAAGCAATTCGAGATGTTCCCAGAAAAACATCTGGATGGGTCTTGAGGTGTTTCTTGATGAGACATCCTCTAATGACTCGAAGTGGTTGAATAGGATGTTCCACCATCGAGGAACCACACATAAGAAGTGTCAAGAATTAGTATTATGTTCATGTGGTGGAGAGACAACTAAGCAGCATTGGCCTGCTGGCAGGTCCTGATGAGGAACTTAATGAAGATTTATTCTGTTCCATCAATGTCTCTGAAAGCCAGCACCAAGAACATTAACTGGATGTGAGCATCTATAAGGAGCCAAAGACAGACAAAGTGGGGTGTAAAATGAGAGCATTTAGGCTGATTGAATACCAGATGTGTTGCTATGTTTTGAATCATCTCCAGATGTTTGACAGCACAAGCTAGTAGCCCTCTCAGTCAACAGCTGCAGAAGTCTATTTGTGAAATAAGTTCCATGATTAAGTGCTGAACTGCATTCTTACAAATAAAGCCTGGTCTTCCTGATGTTATGTAGAGTGATTCTAAAAGACAGAAGTAGCTGCTACGTGGTCAGCAAAGGGTAGCTTGCCATGTATTATTATCCCTAGGCTCCTGGCAGACCTTGATAGAAACAGTATTGATGATCCAAGATGTACAATAATGTCATGGTGAATTTAAGGGCTGGCAAGGAAGACAAGAAGCTCAGAAGTTCAGCAGGAGGTGACGTTCTCTCATCCAGGCTGCAATGTCGACAAGGCATGTGGAGATCTGAGCAGAGTCTATAGTGTCCTCTGGAGGGAAGGGCAGGTGGAGTTGGATGTCATCAGCATAGTAGTTGTGGGAGTAGCCATGCGACTCAATGATTGGACCTAGAGAGGTTCGAAGTATTATACAGGGAGAGAAGAGAAAGGGACCAACAACTGAACCTTAGGGGTCACCAATTGTT